CCGCTTTGTGTCCGCAGCCCCTGGGCGTTCACAGCTTCTCGTGTGTCCTTGGGGTGTCCTGAGAATGACCCGCCAAAACCTGACATTAGGGTCCAAAATGAACGTCAGGACCCAGGCCCACTCCCCTGGGCCGCGAGTTGAAGGTCCCTGCTCTCCAGCTCGTCTGGTCCAAACTCATCCCAATCTGCCTCTGAGATGCTTGAAAATCATTCATTCATTCATTCGCTCAAGGAACGTTTCCAGCACCTGCTATGCTGGTGCTTTGTTGCCCAGTAACCACAGCCGTAACTACGTATCGATCGCGCGAATTCATCGGCTTCGAGACGAAGCCGCGCACTGATTCACCGCGCACTGATTCACCGCGCACCTCAGCGCCCCGTGTGGTGCGGGACCCCGTGTGGTGCGGTACCCCGTGTGGTGCGGGACTGCGGAGCGCAGCCCAGGGGAGGGAGAGGCATGGACCCGGAAGTGCTACTGTGATCGCAATTAGAATTCGCACAATATGATGTAACGATGTGATTAAATGTCTTGAATACACGTTCCCTTCCATTAAAAATGTTGAAATCTCCCTGAGAATCTGGCTATGACAATGAGGAACCCTCAGAAAGAGCCACAGGTTAAACTTTACCGTCTTGTCTCAAGGTTTTCTAACTCGCCTTCCGCTCAGTCGACAACGGGTTCCTGAATAGTCCCTCTTCTTTGACCCTGATTAGAAAACTAAGAGAAATAAACAGATGCCTCCAGAAGCTGTGGAACAGGAGAGCTGCTCGTCCGGGGGGGCTTTGTCTGGAGTGCGTGGCTTTCTCCCTCAGGGGAAGACCCATCGGCCTCTGAGCTTCAGAACTGCCCAGCATCCTGGGGAGACCCAAGCCCAGGGCCACCTCTCCTCTGCTGGCAACCTCATGAAATTTGAGGATATTTCCTTAGTGCCTCCTAGAGTTGGCAGGAAAGACACTCTCGCCACCATGCAGAAAGGCGAATTGAAGCCAGCAGAAAAGAGTCCCCTTGACTGAGGCTGCCCGGCCTCAGACCTTCTCAAGGACCCCCCCAGGCCACCACCAGCCTGTCCAGACGCGTCAGGAGCTGCTCGGACTCACAGCCCCAGGTGACCAGGCTCTGGATTCTGATCTCCCTGCAGGCTGGTCCCCGCCTCATGCCAGCCTCCACCCCACGCCGGGCTGGGCCGCCTTACCTTGGCCCTGATGCCTCTCAAGGAGCAGGAGGAGTGTGAGGGCGAGAGCTTGCCCCAGCATTCCACAGGACATCGGGTTAGTCAGTCTGGCCCCTGTCCCAGCAGACGCTGCACCATGCACCAGCAGCCACCAGCAGTCACCAGGCACCAGGAGGATGATGGGAGAGCTGCCTCACAGCCTGTCCGGCCACAATTTCCTCAACTCGAGGCTGCTGTCGTTGCCTGAGAGGTAGCAAGGCCACTGAGAAAGCCCCAGTGCCTGGACCCAGTGAACTTGCAAAGTTGGCCTCGAGTGGGTGGGAACCCAGGTTCACCGCCACTCACAAACACGCTTCGAAGTCCTGCGGCTTACTCTGCCACAGCCCAGTGGCTTTGTCCAAAGGGCAGACACCCAAGAAAATTTCCAATTCTCTTCATCCTACCAGCAGCGTGGAGAAGCCTGTGTGGGGACCAGCCGTAGTGCCAGAAGGTCCATCCCCCCAGACCTTGGGGGCGGGGCGGGAGGCTGTGCGGTGAAGCCCCAGCCAGGCAGTGAAGGAGACGGGGGAGCAGCAGCAAAGCCCGACAAGCCCAGGGATGCCCCGGACTCGAAAAGCAAAGTTTAAGCACATGCAGATTCGCCCGTTTTCACAAGAATCGCTTTCGCTCCAGTCCCGACTCGGGCGCCTTCTTCCTTCTTTTCGACTTTCCCCGAAGACCTCTCTCTTCCCTTTTCTTCTATCCCCAGACTGGACGTAGCTGCTCTTGCTGTCCTGTCCCATCCGGTTCAGCTCCACCCTCCGGAAAGGCCAGGCAGCTCTGGTGCTGCTCCCGCTGCGGAGGGTGGTTGGTGGCAGGGGCACCTGCCCCCCCCTCGAGGCCACACCCTGGGGACCCAGCCCTTCTCTTCCTTCGGTTTCCCCTTTAGTAGCAAAGATTTTCTGTTCCCTTTGGCTGTCCCTTGTTGGTTTTCATATTTCATCCACTTCCGCTCAGGACAGAGCGCTGGGTCGGGAGTCAAGACGGAGACTCGGCTGCGGGGAGCATCCCAAGGCCCTTTCCACACAGATGCGTGCGCCTCGGTGACGCGGGTGGAGGGGGCGCGGCGAGCGCTCCTCAGGGTTCGGGCTCCGGAGCCCGGGTGTCCGGGTCGGCATCCTGGCTGCACCGCCCAGCTACGTGGTCTCGGGCACCGCCCCCGACCTCCCTGCGCCGGGTCTGCATCCGAGATCCCGGCCTGGCAGCGCCTCCCTCGCAGGCGTGAGGGCTAAAGGGGCTCATGCACCGAAAGCACTCAGGACGGGCCTGAGCACTCCAGGTCGACGACCGCCACACAGCAGAGCTCCACGCTAAGTGCTCCTGCGCTAAGTACTCCCGACCAGGCGACCAGACCCTGGACCCCGGACCCCACGGAACAACCTCGGCTCCCTCAGCTCCTCCCTCCATGAGGGCAGATATAAGGCTGTTTCCCACCGAAACCCGCTCATCTCCAGTTCTAATGAGTACCCATCTTTCTCACACCTTTTTTTTTTTTTCTTTTTTATCTGTGATGGTTTTACCCAACATGAATGCCACTCCTTCTCAGCCTGAACATCCTTAAGGATTTCGGCCTGTGCTGCACGGGGTACTCCCCTCCAAAGAAAAAGACAATGTTAAGTGCAACAGAATATGCCACCCCGAAATATGCCACTTTGGCATATTATTTTAACCTGAAGGTAGCTGAGAAGTGGATACAAGAAAAGCTCGCTCTCTTTGGATGGGAGGGGGGTGGGGAAGGGATTAAGAGGTACAAATAGTTGGTTATGAAATAGTCTTGGGGGTGTGGAGCACAGCACAGGGAATAGAGTCAGTAGTATTGTAATAACTATGTGTAGTGCCGGGTGGTTACTAGACTATTGGGGGGGGCACTTCATAAATCATATAAATGATTACCACTATGCTGTACACCTGAAACTAATATAAAAAAATACTGAGTGTCAACTGTAATTGAAAATGAATGAATGAATGAAGCTCTCCGTGTCAACTGTAATTGAAAATGAATGAATGAATGAATGAAGCGCTCCGTCTTCCCCTATTTGCCTGAAAGCAGGACATAAATCTATTCAGGTCCTTCCTCTTCTCTACCAGGAAGGACAGAGGCTAATCACCAGAGAGAGCTCTGGACCTCAAGCACGGAGATGACAAAAGAACCTACGTGACACACCTCACTAAGTAGCTCTTATCTTCCACTAGCTTCCCGCGATCTCGGAGCCCTTCTCCTTTGTCTAGCCCTTTCTCTAAAATTTTACTGTTCTTGGCTTAGGGTGCTGTTGACACAAGCCCAAGGTCTAACCACTCCTCTGAGCTACTCATCTCTGAAAGCTCCCACAGGTAGGCAGATGCTCATGTTCACACACTTCTGTTTGCCCCAACTGGAGAACCTGGGAGAGTAGACAGGGAAACACATACCTTGACTTCAGGTATTGTGTGTACAAACTGTCAGGGAGAAATTTTTTCCTCATACCCTTCTAGGTTCTTTGGTTGATCTAATAATTATATTGGCCAAAGAGAGATAAACAGGAAAAAAAATTAATTTCATACATATGGAAACTCGTAGAAATGAGACTCCACAAAGTGAACAAAGCAGACCGCCTTTAAACCTTTTAGACAAAGAAACAGTAAGTTTCTGAAGAATGACAAGACAAAGAATTTCGGGCTTGGGGTAGTAACTTAATGAAGAAATAACAAGGTTTGTTTACACAGACTCCTCAGTCCTAGGCTCCTTGTCTCCAGTGAAAGAAGGTCCCCCTCTCTCGTGATGCAGGGAGGGCACCTTCACAGGAAAGATTAATTTGCCACTTTCGAAAGGACAAAGGAGAGTCAGGCTGTCCTTGCACTTGCTGTTTCTTAAGTGACTTTAATTCAAAATAATCAATATGCCAAAGTGGCACATTTTGGGGCGGCCTGCTTTGAACCCCATCGAAGCAGAATTAGAGGTCATAAGCCTGTTAGGATGTTGCCAGAACACTGGTGAAAAGGGTTGAGAGAGAGAGAGGTCTGCAGCCCTGGGAGTTGTCCTTGCCCCGCTGAGCGCCCTGGCTACCCAGCCCGTGCCAGGTTCCCTCCTGGGGGAGAAGGGACCTGTTCTCAGCACTGAGCCTTGTTCGCATAGGTCAGTGTCTTCCTGGGGAGAGTTTCAGTGTGGTCCTTAGTGGCCACCTCAACACCTTAGACCATGAGCTGGGCTCAGAGGCAGGAATAGGCTACAACCAGGAGCCTGGCCCCCTGGAGAGGACTCAGCACACCAGGGACAAGCAAATGAGGCCACTCATTCTCTTCCTGGCCCTGCAGACTGCTCCTCTGACTCTACTGGCCACATACCAAAAACGAAATATTTGTGGTACCAACATCTAAACATTCAGGGCCGGGGATCCTGTCCCCCAGATGCCTTCTGCTTATTTTTATTTGTCTAACACAAGATAACATTGGTGACAGCTACCACGGCAGCTCCTCATCTATCTTGACATGTACATTTTGGAACTTGACACTTATTCATTCACCGTTTATTGACTGGCACGATCACAATAAACACAAGCTCCCCACCCTGAAGAAAGTCAGTGACACCAGCTAAGGAGCTATAAAAAACAGGGAACCAAAAACTATTGTCATTATTCTCACATAGCTTAGGAATCAACGAAGAAGCAACTAGAAGGAGAAAGTAGATGTGTTGTTGTGAGGACACGGTGGGGATGGGTCTCCCCACCAGTCACACCCTCCCACCCTCTCACTCCTCTCTCTCCACACAGCCCTTGTCCAGCTGCTCCTGCCCATTCATCTCCTGGCTTCCCGCCTCCCCAGCGATGTCACGGGCCTGGCTGGAGGCGTCTTAAAGTCTGATTCGAAGACAAATGACGTTGAGTGCTTTCTTGTAACTTCACCTATGAATAGGGTCCCAGTCGCCAGACCATCGCCTGTTTTAGTGCAGCTTGGGATCTAAAATCGGTTTTTACGGTTTTTTAAGTGAGAAAAAAAAAAATCAAAAGTTAATGATTTCATAACATGTGAAATTATGAAATTCATGAAATACAGTTGTTTGTTTGTTTGCTTGACCTTCTGCCATTGCAGGGCGCTTTCTTGGACTTCTCCCTAGTTATACGGCGTGTTCCTCTAGATCCCAGGCGATTTTTCCTTGCTGCCGCTCCTTATTTTCATCACAAATTTGATTTGGTCGCCAGAGGGATGAACAGAGCCTCTATCATCTACGCTATTTTTTTTCTCTCCACAAAATACAGTTTTATTGGGACACAGCCACACTCATTCATTATTCTGTAGGGCCCACAAAGTCTGAAAAAATTTCTTTTCTAGAAGCATCTTTGACCTTGCTAAGTAGACACCATGAGCAAAGATCATCCTCCCTAGTTGAAACAAACATTTATGGGCAAGAAGTTACCACTGAAATTAAATGGTGGCAGACACGTCCAAGAAATACTGTGGGCCTCTATGAATCTGTGGTGGACGTGTGGAGGGGGCCGCTGCTGGGCTACAGGCCAGGACTGGAATGGTGGTGAGACAAGGACGTGGTCTCCTCGTGCTGGGGGACTTCCGACGAGGACAGACAGCAGCTGTGCCCCGGAGGAGTCAGTCGCCCCCACACGTCCCAGCTCCACAGCGTATTGAACTAAGATATGAAAATTGGGTCATCTACATTTCCTTATTAAACTTTTTTGTTAAATAAACTTTTATAACAGTCAAAAAAAATTCTCTACCCATTTAGTAGTTTGCAAACCCGTCCTAAAATATCCAGTTTGAAAGTAGCCATGGACAGCTCTATTATGAGAGCTATGGTAAAGGGCTTAACAGCTACTGCCTCGTCTGCTTCCAAAACTTCATAGGGTAGGTATTATCACCAATTTTTAGATGACAACACTGAAAAAGCTTAGCCGACTTCACAGAAAAGGCTGGAACGCAAGATCTGCCTGACTCCCAAACTGGCATGCTTCCCACTGTACGGCACCCCTGTTAATTCTCTGACGGGCACGTCCCCAGCTGTCAAGCCTGCTTTGGACCCCACCATCGGTCCTACTGTTCTCCCTGGAGGCCAGCCACACAGTGATCTTCAGACATCGAAACTACAGTTTTGTCTCACCCAAATCTTTCTGTGGGGTTGACACCGATTTTTTTTTTAAGTTTCTGTATGACATAGTTTTAAGTCCCTTTACTATCCAGATCTATGGACGTCTTCCAATTTGTCTAAAACCATCGTAAAGTGTGGCGCCTAAAACACAACTTGATTACAGGGGTATACTGCCATCAGCAAAGATGGAATTTATTCATTCCTGCCTACTGAGATCTATTCGAATTCTCATTCTGCAAGCTGATGAGGTTGCTGTTCTCATCATCCACAAATGATACACATGCCTTGTTTTTCATCTGGGTCACTAGCAAAAATGCGGTGAAGTTTACCTTTCATTCCAGAAGGTGGCACTCACAGGCCCTCCATTTCGTCAAGAGCATATTTGTCTCATTCCGTCCCGTAGATCCTGTTGGGATGGCAGACTCGGGTGACATTTAGTCACAGTTCTGAGGAAACCCCAGTCACATCATCACTTTCAATGACACTCTCCTGATACTCACGTTCCCACCTACACAGAGAGCGAACTCGCTTCTGGCTTTCCTTCCCGTTCGGGGCCGCCGTGAGCGGGATGTAGGTGCCCAGCCTTCCCCAGCTGTCCTGACACCGATGCCCATTCCTGGCTGTACGAGCTCAGGCAAGTTCCATGCAATTTCTGTGCCTCTAATCATTCAACAAGTTACCCACAAAGAAGGAAAAAAGACCCATTTCACTTTAGATCTTTACATCTAGTACCGAAACAATAGATGGGAGGAACTACAGAATTGAAATTTTTCCTTTAGGTCGAAGTGGCACTTTCTCTTCACCCGTCGCGTTTAAGCTGTCACCATGCACCCCGGAACCTACTTTCCTCTCCCCTGGCCCTGACCCCTAGCCCCTTAACGCTCAGCCACTTTATCCCAGTCACGGTGCCTTCACGTCTCCACACACCCGTCTCCTAAAACTGCCCCATTCCCCATGGCCCAAACCTCCCCTGCACGTGGGAAATGTCCCTTTGAGTCATTCTCATTCAAGCACAGACCAAAGGTAAGTTAAAAATTAACTATGAAGCCTTGAGGCAGGCTATCTCTAATGTCTTCATAAGGCTACCAGAAGGTTTTTGAATGGACAGGTAACTCTGGGAGTCCCAATATTCTCAATGTAGAACTTCAGGATTTAAACAAACACAATGTGAAAAATAAACATTTATTACAAAAATTAGTTTTGACATTCTACAATGGAAGCAGACAAGGTGTTTTCTAAACCAAAGGGGCCGGTAGCAAATGACTCACACTCGCCAGTGTGACCTGGGGCGCGAGGCGGGTGACAAGGGCGGCGAATCGGCAGCTCCCCAGCTTTCTCCACATCCCTCCCACCCGGGCTCCCAACCGTGCTGCACTCTTAAAATCTCATCCTTACAGAACCATCTCACCATCTCTGCTTTTATTGCCTGATTAATTTTATTTCCATCTGGAAAGTTTTTTACATTGCTTTGTGACCCTTGCCAAATGGTTTGTTTCGTTTTTTTCCTTTTAGATCCTTGCCAGAAAACTCAGCTGTTAGGGATTTCCCAGCAGTAAGGGAGCAGAATATGGCAAAGCGGTGCTTAGTCTCCCCCATGGAAGTAAGCAAAGTTGACCCCAGAAAACCCTTCATTTGCCCTCTTGCTAATCCATCAATAGACTGAGACTGTGGCGGATGGGGAGACAGTAGTTCAAGGGCGAAGGGATGGAATGGGAAGGGAAGAGCGAGGACAGGCAGGCCTGCTCCCACCTCCTCCACGCAGCTGGCTGCATGACCCAGTCTCTAGCTGCCCTCTCCTTGAACGCCCAGCCCATTCTGGGCTTTAAACTGCTGACACAGATGCAGTTCCCAAATGATCTGAGAAGTCCTCCTGCCTCGGGCTCTGGCGTTTGTCCTGCAGCCTTAGGGAAGTCTATGAACACCCCTGGGGGGCACACTTTGTCCCCTCACTCAGCCATCAGCCCAGCTTGGCTGCCGTGCAGCAGAGGGAGGCCTGCCCCAGAGGGCCGTGGCACCAGGGTGGCCTGTCAGGAGGCCCGCCTTGAGACAGAAGGGGAAGGGTGGTGTAGGGAGCTGGGCGCCGGCTGCCTTGGGCACTTTCCAGTGCGCACAAAGGAGCCCAAGAACCTCACTCCCCCATCACAAGAAGCTTCAACGAACCAGGTTTTTATTTCCAGCAACATCCAGCTGCATACAGACACACACCAACACATCTCACCGAAGAGCTGAGAAGCCCTCCAACACACACTCGAAGTCAGCAGGGCCAGGGCCACACACGCTCAGCAGAGACAAGGACACACCCCCGCAGCCCAGCACGCACATCTTAAGAGGGTCCAGCTGTTTAGCCAAGGGGAGGCTGATGGCTTGAGCTGCCATCTCCAGCTTGCTTTTCCTTAGATTGGCGGTTTTAAAACTTTCTGCGCCACATCCCCCGAGAGCCAGCTATGCCCACAACGGACGCTCCCGTTTTGCCTGCCGACACAGCGGGTGTCAGTCTCCTTGTGCTCGGGAGGGTGCAGCGGCCCGGGGGCACTTCCCGTGGGGGGACAGAGGCAGAAGAGACTTGATGTCATCACCAAACGACCATTTCGGCTGCCCAGGTCCAGCCCCACTTAGACCAGCCCCCAGCGCGGGAGGGAAGGGCCGAGGAACCAGGTTCGCCAGCCCAGTGCGAGCGCCTGCGGCGGGAGCCCCGCCACTCTGCCTCTGCCCGGAGACTCGGGGCTCCTGTGTGCTCCCCCGCCCCCCCCGCGGGGACGCGGGTGAGAGCTCCACACAAGTCCCAGGCCACTCGGCAGCAGTGGGAAAGGAAGAGAGGCGACGGAGGGAGGGGCACGCAGCTGACACTGTTAAACGACACATCCTAAGACAGAAGTGGGGTCTCTGAGGGGGCGAGAAACAAATAAGGCATCCTGTGAGACTCCGGACGTCAGAGGCCAGAGTCCGGCAGCACCTGGGCCAGGCAGGCTCAGAGGACCAGGGTCACACCAGGAATGACGAGGTCTGTCTGAATTCCCCCTGGGAAGATAAAACATCCGATCGGCTCTGCAGTTTTCTTTAGCAGATAATCCCCCAACAGTTAACCACGGGCTAGAGACCCCTCGGCCTAGCCAGGGACCCCGTCCAGGGTGGGGTACTCACTTCACTCCGAGCGGCGGGCTGGCTGTAAATCACCTTCTTATTTGCCGTCCTGCAGAGAAGCCACAAGGTGGACACACTCAGCCCCCTAGTCCCCTCCGACCTCTGCTTCAGAGGCGGGAATGGGGCTCTCCAAGGGGGTGTGGGTGGAGGGAAGAAAGAGCACAGGGGCAGAGGTGGGAAGTCAGAGGTCCCCCCACAGGCTGGCGGCCTCCACCTCCAGCCCCTGCCCCTGGGCCATCTCAGCCTCAGGCCCCTGCGCAGCGCCTCACTCACCCCTTCTTCATTCCTGAAAGAGAAGACATGGGACTGAGTGTCGGCAGCGTGGAGGTAGCATGGCACAGGGACGCGGGGAGGGGCACGGGCACGCGGGGAGGGGCACGGGCACACAGCACTGAGCTGTGCACAGTCCATATTCCTTGGAGGTCAAGCCCTGCACACGTGGACACAGTGACAGGACCGGGCTCAGACGTCACCCCGGAGCTGCGCCCAGAAGGGGGAACAGTACAAAGCAGAGCCTTTGAGGGCAAAGACTTACTGTTAAAGTAGCCTCGGCTGTAAGCGAACCAGATGCCGAAGATCAGGACTCCAAGGAGAATGAGGGTTACAAGGACAGCCGCCACTATGCCCCCCACATTCATCTCCACTGTGAGACAGAGGCAAGGTCAGCACAGCGTGCCCACACCCCCGCCCTGTCCCGGATGAAGGTGGACCCACCCTCACCCCTACCCCACAGCCTGCTCACCGGCCTGCATGCGCACAGGGTCGGACTTCACAGGGGTCCCATACCCGTTCTGGGCCTGGCAGGTGTATTCTCCGGTATCAGAGGCTGACACGGGGTCGAAGACCTGGAGGGCACAGCACGAATCGGCTTCCTGCCTGAACTGACCCGAGCCTCGCGCCAGCTCCTCCTCGCACCCGGGGCCTGTGCCCACCCCCCACCCCTTCCTACCAGCTCCCCGGTCTTGTGATTCAGGCTGTAGGAGGAGTTGCTGAAGGCGCGGCTATTCTTGGGCTCCGTGGGCATCTCGGTCCCGTCCCGGAACCAGTAGTACTCAGAGGGCGGGGAGCCGTCACTCTCGGAGCAGGTCAGCACTGCCCGGGTCCCGATGGTGGCCGATGATGGGACGCTGACCGTGGGTTTGGATGGGGGCACTGGTGGGGGGGGGGCGGCG